GGGACATTATTATTTCTCAATCCAGGAGACTGGATCGATGGGCAGAACACTTTAGGGATCAGTTCAACAGGCTTCGAGCCACTCTTCGGTTACCCACGATCTCTAGTCATCCTGAATGGCAAATCGACGTAAGTCCCCCAAGGCTTTACGAAGTTGAGAAGGCGTTAGTAAATCTGAAGCGAGGGCGAGCTGCAGGTCCTGATAGACTGACCCCTGAGATATTTAAGGATGGTGGTCCAGTTTTAACAGCTAGGTTGACTGAGATCTTAGGTAGAATCTGGGAACTGGACGAAATCCAATCCGACTGGTCTCAACCCTTGATTGTCCCAATTTATAAGAAAGGAAAAAAGTCCTCTTGTGACAATCACAGGGGAATAAGTCTAACTAGTATAGTATCTAAACTCTTAGCCTCCATTATACTTAGACGTCTAGCTAGAGCTCGTGAAGAGCAGACTCGAGAAAACCAGTCTGGTTTTCGACCTGCACGTGGTTGTATAGACCACATCTTCACACTAAGACAGGTCCTGGAACACAGACACACATGGACGTCCAACAATAGATGTTTTCCTGAACCTTAAGGCAGCATTTGACTCTGTAGATCGTGAGTTTCAGTTGCAGTGTCTGTCATTGAAAGATGTACCAAAGAAGTACATTAACCTCATACAAGCTCTCTACTCGAACACCACTGGTCGAGTGAGAGCTTATGGCGAACTGTCATCTGAATTCTTTACTTCAAGTGGTGTCCGTCAGAGCTGTCCACCCTCTCCATTCTTGTTTAATTTTATCATAGACATGCTCCTAGAAATAACCTTATCCTCGTCTGAATTTTCAGGAGTAGACCTTTTACCAGGTGGCTCGCTCATTCACTTAGAATATGCCGATGACATAGTCCTACTTGGTGAAGATGCTGACAAAATGCAGAGTCTTCTTCAGGATGCGGTTTTCCCCGTCGAAATGCAAAATGTTGCTTCAAGACTGGGTTGCATCGGCACCTGAACTAGTGATAGGGAGTGAAGTAGTCGAAGATGTAGACCGCTTCACTTATCTTGGGAGTCTCATCAGTGCTGATGGCCTGGTGACTGACGAAATCTCAGCTCGGATACAGAAGGCTCGATTGGCTTTTGCCGACCTGCGTCACCTATGGCGTAGGCGAGATATCCATTTGCTGAATAAAGGTCGAGTGTACTGTGCATTAGTTCGCTCCGTCTTACTTTATGGCTTTGAAACATGGCCAGTGAGAGTAGATTTTCGTAGGTTACTGGTTTTCGATCATAGGTGTCTTCGAAGCGTTGCTCGTATATCCTGGGACACCCGAGTGAGCAACGCTGTTATTAGGAAACGGGTGCTAGGTAAGATTGGCAGATCAATAGATGAAGTAATGAAATTTCATCAGTTGAGGCGGTTGGGACGTGCTGAGTATGCCTAACCACCGACTGCCTCGACGAGCTATGTTTTGTGGTGTAGGAATAGGCTGGAAGAAAGCTGGGGCGGCCAGACCAAAACATGGCAGAAATCTATAAAGTCACTGACAAGTGGACTGAGTCATGTTGGTAGATGTAGGCTATCTGGTTGGGGTCCGCGGGACGAAAGTCACCGATGGTTAGAGACCTCGAATGACATGGCTCAAAATCGTTCGCAATTGAGCCGGTGCATTTGTGCTTTGTGTTCTCTCAAATCCTAATCTTCTGTATTCTTCAACCCCTCTAGTTTTGACTTTCCGAACTTTTCTTACTGAATCATACTTCTTGAATAATATCTTCTAATCCTAACCTCTTCGATTACTTCTAATACCTTTACTACCTCTTCTATTATTGGATTTGAATTTACAATTACGTCTGTGTGCTGACGTGGTATGGCGACATGAACTGATGTACTTACGTACAAAGTTCTACGTTGCACCTGATTGGCTGACTGTCGCGTCTCTGTGCTGATGGGGCCTTGCAACCTGAACTGATGTACGTACGTAGGAAGTTCTGCGTTGTATCTGTCTGTCTGTCTGCCTTTGCCTATTATGTGTAGTGACGTAATCTATTTTATTTCATTGTGACTATCGAGTTAGATTGCCTTGATTTGTCAAACATTTTCGTATCAATATTCATGTATATTAAAGTAAAGCCTTATGATGATCTAGTCGAAAACAATATTGTTCGCTTATATGTGTTGTTCTAACTTACTAATCTATCAAGTAATAAGCATGATACATTATGAAGACATTCTTCAATATTTGTCAGTGATTGTTTGAAACTGAATTGGTGAATACCTGTACACAATGTTGATCGATTGCCATCAGATGCGAAATTTACCTAGCTTAATCTTTTTAGTTTGATCACCAACTGTTCAGAACTGAACAGATTTACACACAAATCAGCGCAATCGTTTGCAGAAGTAATTTCAACGGTTTGTTGTGAAAACAATATGTCAATTAGGAAAATGACGTTGAGCAATGTGTTTACAGAATTTACAGGAGTTTCCTGAAAGAAAATTTTCTATGCACACGTATAACTTTTAGAGAATAGCATTAGCATACCATTACAATTCATAAATAGTATACAAAAAACTACCTATGAAATTTGTTTGGGCTGTCAGACTATTTTTCAAAATAACTTCCAGGAGTTCAAGAAGAACCATGAGGTTCTTGCTAAGGTGTGAACGTTGCTACAGAGGTATAGAAAACACAAAAAGCTACATCTTAATGTCTGAATTTTTTGAAAATTTTTGAATGATTATTAGTTACAGCTGACTATCTTTAAAGACATATATACACCGTTAAATCTACCTGAATGATATCAAGGAATTCAAACATATGCCAAATATGTGGATTTCTAAGTACCCGCAAGGTAAGCAGTTTTCAGTTCAATATCCAATCGGTTCTTCTTAAATTGGTTAAGTTCCAGGTTAGGCAGCGTATAAGGTAAAGCTAATCAAAATTGAGAAAATTTATAATTTTGGCTTCGTTATAAAATATTAAAGTCGCTGCTTTTAATCAGTATCACTTACAAAGAGCAGCAGAACTTCTTTTAGTAGTAACAGGATCTTCAAAATAAACATTTATGTGGGTTATCATCATTAGTGCTGACATTCATTTCTTCAGTAGAAAGGACAGAAAGTCGGTTAACCTTTGTTGATCCTTTTAGCTTGTTTTTCAGTGGATATCTCGCCATTCGTACCGGATTGTAGTGGTCTCTCCGATGATTATTTCTGGAGGAAGAAAAAAATATGACATGGTAACACCATAATAGCTATTCAAGATAAAGAAACACAAAATGACATCGCCTGGCGTCCTACAATAAGAGTAAGCGGTTTGAGCCTTTTAAGCGCTCATCGTAGAAGTGTCGGTAAGAGCCTTCCACTCACTGAGGACAGAATGAGAGTTTAGCAGATTGTTTAATTCCGTGTGACTGATTAATCCATTCCCCACCATTTTATCTAGCAGCCTAACTAATATGCTAGTTAGACTGGCAAGTTGGCTGTTAAATAGGATCTGTATCCTTCCATATTTGTTTCTCGGGTTATTAATAAAAATTTTCCATCACATGAAGAGATTAGTTTACGTAAGAGACATGCTGAACAGTTTCAGAAAAAGGATTTAAATTTATACACCTCGTTTTCTAGGAACCTTCCTCATTGTAAGATCTTAATTACCTACTTTAAAAAATCTCGGTAAAAACTATACAGGTTTCTGTCTAGCATGCAGATACCTCATGTACTAAGAGAGTATGCAGAGTAGCCTGAGTGAGAAAAACTGGAAAATGGAAGAAGAAAAGAACTAGGCTGAAGACCTAGAGAAAGCATAAAATAAGTGAAATTTTAGTGAGAATAGCAATGAAGAACAATCTTTGATTATGCAGGCTTCAGATTCAGCTAGTCGGGAAAGCGGAATTCAGCTTGAATAGCTTCAGGATTTTAAACTGGTACAAAAGCTATCTTTCGCATTTAGCGCACCAATCTTTTAATTCCTACGCCCGAATTCCCCGTCATCAGACCAGCTACACTCAACGAATTGATGAATGTACTAGTTGTTTAGGTAACAGATTTGTCGAATCAGAGATATTTCCAGGAGACCTGCACCTACATTAAGCACTGAACACTTTTGAAAGGTTATGGATGCTAAATAAGGGGTGGTTATAAAGACCGCAGAACTCACTCATGCAGGTGTGATAAGTTTATGTGTGTTTTTCCTCTTTGTATTGAATACGTTCCATTCCGAACCTAAATACGTTCTTTAGAAATACATATACCCCATTGCTAACTGCCACGAAATAACGAGTCACTGTCGACCATAATGTGACTTCCATGTAGGATATTGCGGATTGACTAGCTGTTTACGTTGTTGGTTCATGCCATTTTACCGACATGAACAGTTTGAGACAGCTATATTTTCAACAAGTGATTATAAACAGGGTAATAATAATAATAATAATTTATTCTCAAATAACTAAGTTACAAGAGTCACGCCAGTTTACAGGCTAGATCAAATTGTCACAAATGCTGTAACAATTACTGTAAAAGTTATAGCAGTTAAATTAAGTATAAGAGACAGTTTCTGATTGCATATTTACACCATATCACTGACAGAAACAGTATTATACAGCCACATTTTCAATATTAGAGTACAAATGAGGAAGGTGCACAATAGGTTCTATTGGCGATTGGCCGAGATCAATAGTGAATTTGTTGGGAAAGGTCATATGGAACGCGCTTGATACGAGCTGTGATCCAGACAGTCATGTACCTAGGGTGCATGTTCCCTAAAGTTGCCAAGGACTTCCCACCGTGAATGGGGTTCTGAAACGGAGAAGAGAGAGAGAAAAAGGCAGCAGTGTGGCAAGTGTATATATATAACCAAAGCACTACTTAACCTGTCATGTTAAAGTAGTCAATACAGTAGTAAGTCAAGATAACATTCATACTGACCACTTAAATTAAAGTAAATTATGGGAATATAAGAATATAACGCACAGATAAAGGAGTACAGCAAAAGGAAGGGAGAGTTGTGCAGTGTCAGGTGGATAGAAGAGAAGTCGAAGTAAGAAGCTGGATTTATGTACGTTGAAATCAAAATTCTAGTTAAAAGAGTAGAGTTTGTAAAAATAAATATTTGACGAATAAAATCTCGCACTGTCTAACTGTTTTTTTTCTTTATTATTGAATGCCAACCTCTAAGTCATACTGTAAGCGCCTGAGTAAGAATGTTGCGGGTGTCTCGACAGAATAGCGACCTCAGCATAGTTTTGGAAACATGAACCACAGAAGTAGCAAGCGTATAAGAGCAACCTCAGTGTTACTGATTAGTCGTCTCATCAATCTAAAGAGCCGAAAGCAAACAAAATGTATCCAGCAGAGTTCTTGAGTGGTATGTACACTTCGGGAGTGATTAAAAAGATGTTGTTTCCGAAGAGTTACTGGAGGAGTATTTTTTAGCAAATTCATATTTCGTAGAAACTGTCCGTTAAAAGATATAAGCAGCAGCCTTGATGAGCGCGTAAGCAAGGAACAATTTACGCTGAAGGAGAATCACGGTGTTTCACTGTTCTGAAAAAAATGAAAAAAAGATGGAAAGGAACCTGAAGCAAACAAGGTATCCTATCCAGGAACAAGGGTGTAATAAAGTCGTCAACCACACCGTCAGTGTTTACTGGTCAGTAACAGCAGGAAGTAAGTCACTAATTTACAACATACAACTTCGTACATAAGTACATAAGTTACGGTCACAATACCCCATCAGCACAGAGACTCATTTGCCATTTCAAATTAGCAGTAATTGTAGAGATTGCGGTTCGACGATATTATTCAAGTGAGATAAGTGAGATAATTTTATAAAGAGATTTGATGAGGAATTCAGAAGATTAAAATTTAGGGAAGCACACAATGGACACACCTGCACCAGCGCAAACAGGTTTGGGACACGTCATTCAGGGTCTCTAACCATCGATTACTATCATCTTGCAGACCTAAATCAGGTAGTCGACACTTACCAACATAACTAGGTCCACCTGTCAGTAACTTCATGGATTTCTGCCATGTTTTGGTTTGGCCGCCCTAGCTTTCTTCCAACCTACTCCTACACCACAAAACATAGATCGTCGAGGCAATTGGTAGTTGAGCATTCGTAACACATGTCCCAACCGCCTCAACTGATGGAGTTTCAATACTTCACTTATTGACCTACCATCCTTACCTAGAACCCGACTACTAACAACAGCAATGCCCACTCGGTTGTCCTAGAGCATGCAAGTGATGATATCTACGATCAAATACCAGTAACCTACGAATTTCCTTTACTCCCACCGGCTATGTTTCGCATACATATAGTTGGACAGAGCGTACTGCTGCACAGTACACTCGTCCTTTAGCAAACGCCTATGCAATAGGTGACGCAAGTTGGCGAATCCCAATTGAGCTTTCTTTATTCGAGCTGAGATTTCGTCAGTCACCAGGCCATCAGCACTGATGAGACTCCCGAGATCAGTGAAGTGGTCGACACGCTCAACTGATTCACTACCTATCACTAGTTCAGGTGCTGATCAAAGCCAATCCTGAAGCAACATTATGCATTTCGAGGGTGAGAACCGCATCCCGAACATGCTTGCATTGTTGCTTAGGGTAGTCTTACTTACTTACTTTCGACTGTTACCCCCAATGGAGCATAGGCCGTGTAGAATTCTTTTTGAATGTTTTGTTTTTGGGAAAATCCCTCCATGTTTACATATTTTGCTATGACCTGATGGACTTTTTCTCTTGACATTTTTGGTATTTTATTTGATTCCAATTTGAGATTTTACCATTGTATGTTGTTATTCTTTCCATATTTTGTACTTATATTGAAGTTTTTGTGTTTGCTTCTGAATTGTACATATATTGTTTAAATTTGATATAATATGGCTACCGCCACATTTTTGGATGGACGCGGTGGCTGCTGGACTTAGTGTCACCTACTAGCTATTGTAATAGATACTCTACGGAGTAATTTAGTCCTGGAAGAAACATAAACATCGTAAGCCTCTGTATTTCCATTTTATAACAATAGAGACGGTTTTCTCCTAGAATTTTTGGCCTTCTGATTTGGCTGGGACTTGGATCTAGGAGTATCGTACCGGTGTGTTTCTATTGGACGCGATTAGGACAGCCGCCGGCGAAATAGATTCTACAGGCCGCCCACCAGTTTTCTCCAACAAACTCTGTCCTGGGCTTCCCTCTCCAGTTCTGTCCAATGTTTGTTCATTCCTCTCATATCTTTCTCTATTTCTCGGCGTAGTGTGTTCCTTGGCCTTCCTCTTTTCCTTTTGCCTTGAGGGTTCCATGTGAGGGCTTGTCTAGTGACGCAGTTAGGTGCTTTTCGTAGTGTATGTCCTATCCATTTCCACCGCT